CAGATACTGAGTGGTTTCCTGGAATAACAGCCTCTCTCAAGAGAAGCAGCAAATGCATTTAATCAGCCACATTTAGAGCTCTGCAACATCTGCAAATTAATTATTAACAATCTCAAATGTTTTCAAATGATCCAAAAGTCAGGAATGACACGGCTCTTCAGATAATCAGCTCTGATTCAGGGCTCCTGCACCTGGCTGCTGCTGTGAACCACAGCTCCTTGCAGCTCGGATAAACCTCTCTGGAGGCACTTGGATAGCAGAACAAATGCAACATGCAGCTGGTATCCAGCTGTGTCTGTGTGTTTTTGTGCATCAGGTAGTAAATAGCCACCCACCAGTGCTGCGCGTCTCGGGGGGAGGTAAAGGATGCTCCAGGGAATGCTGTCCTGAGCTCTGCATTGACTGCTGTCCACAGAAAACCTTCCCTCCCACAGTGCTACATTTGATCTGAAGTAATGGAAGACTGTTTTAGGTAAGGTTTGCCTGGAGAAGGAGGCTTGAGTTATGAGCCTTCTTGTTAGCTAGCAACAGCAGGAATGGCAGAATGAAGGTGTGAAGCAAAGCATGGCTCACGAGAGCTGGGCTCCAGCCTTCAGTTAGTTACCTTTTGTCCTGCTAAGAGACTCATGGATGGCTTATGTCAGTTCACCTGCAGAACAAGGTATCCGGTAAAGTGCTTGGAGAAATAGTAATGACTTCCAAGCTATATGTGCGTCTAACCACTTCCACTGGATTATGGAAATGCCCTTTTAGAAAAAATAATAGCAACAATCTAGTTTCTTCAGATGAGCTAATGTGGTTGCATTAGTTTTTGAATCAACAGATGTTCTTGTATAAGGGCCCCAGCTGACAAAATAATGGAGCTATCAAGATACAGATGTAAACAAAACACTTGCAGTATTAATATGAATTAATGAAAAAAAAAAAAGTATTAATTTGTATGGATACCAGTGCAATGAGGTCTGGTATATGTACAAACAAGAACTCTCTAGGGTCTTGAGGAAGGTGGTCAGCACTACGTTATATTCAGACTAAATGTAGAATTTCTGTTCAGTCTGCTTGTTGGGGAGGACCTCAAAGATGAGGGGACGATGAAGCTCACTGCAGGTGTTAAGGGGAAGATGTAAGCAGAAACATGCTGTACCAAACCCTCTGATAACCAGAAAATACAAACCAGCTGCATCTGGGTTGCTGTCAAATCAGAGAACAAAAGAGGAATTTAAAATCTACTCCTTCATTTGCCTGAGTGAAAGTTGCCGGATGGTCACTTTATTTTGTATATAATTACAATAATAAGCTTGCTAGTGTATCTGTTATGGCTGATGTATTCTGTGTGCATTATTAACAACATGGCTGTCCCACTACGCTCATAAGGAACACATAAAACCCAGACAAATGGAAGCAGAAGTGGCTGTGGCTATTAAGAACAATTAAGCAGTACCCAGCCTCTCTGTAGGAGGCTGCTCTGGAGTGCATTCATGCAGCAGAGCTCATCTTGTGATGCACATTTTGAGAATGCCGTCTGACGTGTTCAGGTGTAACTATCTGGTCTTCTGCAGAAGCTTCAGTTGCATAGCAAGAGGCAGCTATAGCTACTGAGGGGGTACTGTCTATTTAATATTTGTTTGTTTTGTTTCAAGATGGAATTGGAGGTTGGTTTGTTAGAAATAAACTACTTCACCAGAAGATCAGCTGTCTGCTTTCTGTGGCTGGAAGAGAGAAGGGTATTGATGTCACTTTTTACCTTGAAATCAGCTTGAGACTTCCATGCAGTTCTGTCACATAGTTAGCAATTTTATTTCAAGCTTTTCTTGTTTATGAAGACAAACACCAAAGTCCCTTGCAGCTTGTACACCCTGGAAGTGAGATGATCTTACAACAAGTGGTGTAGCTCCTCACGCCAAGGTTTGAATTCTCTGTAGCTTATTTTCATTTTCTATGCAGTCTTTGAAATAATTTGTCTTCTTATGCATAGGTTTGTGCCTCGGCTTCCTTAGACTAAAAATCGCTCTGGTAGCCAAAATTTCATTGAGCTGTCCTTGAATAAGAACCCTAGGCAGGGTTCTTAGGAGGCAATGTTTGTACCAAACTGCTCCCAAGGCTTTGGTCTGTTTGGGATCCTGGGTAGCCCATGGGAAAGGAGTGCTACTGGCTGTGATAGGAAGGGGATGAAATGAATGAAACTAAAGAACTTAAAACTACCACCAATCATGACCATATTTATTTTGTGCTGCATCTCTTCTAGGTCTGCACACCTTGAAAATTACTTATATTATTGCCTGGTACATATTCAAGAAATAATGGCTGAAGCAGGGACCTGTGAACCTCAGTTCCTCCACTGGAATCAGTCTTTTGAAAGAATGAGATCAGCTAAAAATGTAGGAATGTTAATAGCATGATATGTTAACATACCTGCTGTAAAACATAATTCTTGTGATGCAGTCAGCCTTTTACATTTAATTTAAAAGGCCCCAAACCCTTCAAACCTTAAACCCCACTGTCTGATTGGTTTGTTTTCCACTTGAAAAGAATATTGAGTCTGCTCTGAGTCAAGTCCCTTAGGAAGGTCCTTGGGTCTGGAAACCTTTGATGGCAGGACTGGATGGGCTGTTGCAGAAGACATTCAAGGGCAATTTTAGGACAAAGCAGAAGGAAAGAGGGGCATTTCAAAACAGTTTCTTCTTCATGTCCTCAGCACTGGGATGTGCTGCCGGGGTGTGCTATGGCTTCCTCCCTGCTGCCATAGCAACGTGTTCCTCATCCCTGCATTGCAAGGGCCAGGGGGTGCTCCTGGGGGGGATGGGGAATGGAAAAGGCTCTTTTTAAAGCACCATTTTATGTCACTGTTTAAATAAAGAAGGGCAGCAAAAAGGGGGGGCGGGAATTGCAGTTTTAATTTTCACTGTAAAAAAAAGTAGGTAAAGCTGTATCTATTTTAGCCATGAGGACCAAGGCAGCTGACACACAGTGTGCCATGGCTGGGTGGCTGTACACACGGTGCAAGGTGTTAACTTCAATGTGTGACTTTATTACCCACCCAGGGGCAGGGGGTCTGCTTTAAGGCTACTGCTACATAAAGGAAACACAAAAATCCCCCCCACATTCAGAGCCACCTTGATATCCTGCTCATGCTTTGAGCTGTCTTGAGCCAGGAGAAATGTGCTGCTTGAGGGTCTGTGCAAGTGTTGAGGAGAAGGTTACTGTTGTCTTCAGTGAGCTTTACTCAAGGCATTTTCAATTACGTAGTCTGGTTTCACAGTGGTGTTTGATAAGTGTGTTGGACTGCATTTTTTACAACTGCCATAGGCCTCCACCAATGCCATGGGTGCCCAAGGCCCTGCACAAGCTGCTGCTGCTCCATGGCTGCAGCTCCACGCTGTAGCAGGCTGTGGCCAAGGCCAGGAAATGAGATCCCCATGTCTGAAGAGCTGCAGGAACACCAGACCTTCTGTGAGCTCAGCCACGGGACAGCCATCTGCTCCCGAGAGGCCGCAGAGCCCCTGCAGCCAGCCCACCAACCCAGAGACTGACAAACCAGTCCTCCTCTGAGGGGGACATTGGAAGGCAGGTATAACATTGTTAAACTTGCTCACCCAAAGCAGAAACCATTAAGTGAATTCTCAGTGCTCTTCTCTGGACAATTCTCTTAGTCATATGGTTTTGTTTTAGGTAGTCCTGTGTGGAGCAGAGAGTTAGATTCTGTGATCCTTCCAACTTGAGGTATTTTGTGTTTTTATGACTGTCTCTCTCAGTTTTACATACTATCTAAGTATTAAATGTTACCAATTTGAACAAAAGAGAGTTTTCTGGACTGTGAGGTTTGGAGGAGCAGTATTAGGATCAAAAAGAATAAAAATATTAGGAATCAATGTGATAAAACCCATGGTTTTAAGCACTGTTTTGGTGTCACAAGCAAGTGCATATCGAATGGCAAGTGGTTTGTCCTGCTTTACAAAACTGAATTTAATTCTGGTATTTTTTCACTTCTTTGTTTAATGTTTTGACTCATCCAAATAACAGGAAACTGGAGGATTTTGCTATAGCCCAAAGCAAAAGCTCTGACTGCACTCCTATCATCTGCAATTGCTTGGGGTGATGGTGACACTGAAGATGAAATCTTTTTGCAGCCTTTGTACTTTGCTTCATTAGACGTTTCCTCGCCAAAAATCATCCCCACCCCACTTAGCAGAGATGAGTTGCTGAAGAATACCCAAGGGAAAACCCCTTTTAAACTATCATCCTGGAAATGCTTATGCCTGAGCTGGCCTAGTGAAAACGGTGTCTGACTCACAGGGTTACACAAGCACATTTTGTTCTGTAAAAGAGCAGGAGATTTTCCAGAACATCCACTGTAGGTCCTAAGAGCAGCTCAAGAGGCATTTCAAGTGCACAGGTAATGCAATGAATCACAAAGGTTCTGTGTATACTTACGTATACGTCTAACAGCCATTTAATGGAATGGGAAATTATATTTTTATTGGAAAAAAAAAAAAAAAAGAAAGAAAAAAAGAAATGTGACCTTCAGGGTGAGTTCCCTGCTTGCTTTGTCTGGGAGCCTGGCTCTTCCTTCGTGGCAGCCATCATGAGAGACAGTGAGGAACCCACCTGCTACATCAGAGCTTCCCTGAGCTACTGCTACTCACAGACAAAGGTTCAATTTTGTATTTTTTCAGTGCTTTACCAGGGACTCTGCCTGAGCTGGACAGATCATTCATCTTCCTCCCACAGCCAAGAGATACATAATCATTAATTGTGGGGGGCAGCCAATTTTCAAAAAAGGTAATGCAGTGATTGTGCTGGGTGACTTTAGAAAGCTCTTCAGGTACATACTACATTTAAAGAGAATGCCAGCTGGTGTTCTTACAGCCCTGAAAAAAGTATAAGCTACCAACATATTCTACAGCAAAAGAATAGACTTCAGAATAACTGTCTGCAGAGCATATATGTTTCCATTTCAAATTACTATTACTTTATCAACTGTCAAAAAGAAACACAGTCTCTTGTCCAGAAATAATTTATTCATCAACAATAAAACACTGAATAGAAAAAGCCTTTTAAATAAAACTATATATATATATAATGCTTTATTTTTTTTATTTGGTACTCCACAAAAAACACTACAGACAGTAACAAAATAATCCAATTAATCTTAAAAATTTCAAATTATAATTGTCACTCTTCTGTTATCATGACTTATTAACAATGCAAAGGTCGCTTGTTTACATGTTATAGTTTTACTTGATTTCATTGAATTCTTTCTTAAAACACTTGAAGCAATTTGTTATTTGCCCTGTAATTGATAACATATATAAGTATATCAATAAACAATGTAACAGCTCTGAGAAAGATATGCGGACTGCTCAATGGTAAGTAGTCTGCCATAGGTCATTTAGTGGGAGAGCAGGAAGAAATCACAACTGAATTGGGATAGAAGTCAACACATTGAAGAGAAATAAGATTTGGGGAACAATTACATGTTTTCCATTGCCCGTTTGGTCATGTGATCTCTTTCAAGCTCTGATTTCTCCTGTTTTAGATACTCCAGCACCTTTGCTAGCATATCCTCATCCAGGTACTGCCTGGCTTGCGTGTCATCGCTCTCCCCGGCCATGGGAAGCCTTTTGCTGAGCGAAGCCAACTTGGCGGCCTCTTGTGGTCCCAGCTGGCTCAGCTGCTCCCTGATGGCCTGTTCCAGGTCCTCTTCCTGCAAGTCGCTTTCAGGAGCAGGAACTGGGATGCGTTTCATCTGGTTCGTATTGATAACTTCGGGATACTTTGCCAGCACCTTTGCCAGGTAATCAGCCAGCTCTTCGTCCTTCTCGTTCAGCTTCTCGTACTCCATTTGTCGCCTCTCCAAGTCATTCATCCAGGCAGCTTTAGGAAACGGGCGCCCTTTCAGTCGTCTGGGGATGTAAGAAAATCTTGGCAAATCATTTTCTTGATTAAGACGATTTAGCAAGTAGGAGGGATTCTGGTTAGCGAAATTGTCAGTTCCCAGCAGACTGACAATATCTTCAATATTGAGGTCTTCAGGTAGATTTTCTGGAATAACATTAAGAGGCTGCTTCATGTACCCGTTTTTAGAGTTTACATTATTTTTAAATATATCGCTCTGTCCTAGATTAGTTTCAGTGACCTCGTCGAGGTCTTCTGGGAATTCTGCATCCTGCTCAGCTTCCAGCCTTTCGCTCTGAAGCTGCTTTTTGTCTCCAGCTTTCAGCATGTCTATTAAATCCTCAGGAGGAATTTGTAAATTCCTTGAGATTTCTATCAGCTGAGCTATAGACTGAGGATCAAGTTGCTTATCCAAAAACATGGGTGCTCTTTTTTCTTCAAGTTCTCCTCCAGTCCTTAGTTTCCTACTTGCAGCACTGCCCATCAGCCTCTTCAGGTAATAATTCATTAGCTTTGAAACATCCTCTGACATTTGATCTTTGTTGTCTCTTCTTATTTCATCCTCAAGGAAGCTGAGTTTCCCTGATCTCTTCATTTCATCATCAATCTCCTCTTCATGTTTATCAATTTCCTCTTTGCTATCTTTTATCTCTTCCTGGGTTTGACTCTCCACTTTTTCCTCTATGGGATTCCAATCTTCTCCTCCAACCACATCTTCATAGGCAATGTTATTCACTTTGTATACATCATCTTCATCATCTGTATACAATTTCTGGTCCTCATCCAGCCTTTCTTTCTTGTGGCTACTAGGTCCTGCCATCTTCCCCAGCTCCTGAAACACCGACTCCAGCGTGGCAAGGCTTTGGGGTGTGTATTGCTCTTCCACTATCTCATTAGTGCGCTTGAAAGGACTTGAGCTGTCTTCATAGCGCCCAAGAGGCATTTTGAGATATTTTTGCCACCTCTCAGGCCATTTGTAAGCCTCATAATCATCAGTTACTCCAGCTGGAAAGCTGTTATCTGGACCCAGGCCATAAGGTTTACCCTCCTTTGGGCTAACTTTTGACTCTTTCTCAGCCTGCCGCAAGGCTTCCAACATCACCTTGACCCATTGGGACTCATCTTCAGTCAGAGAATCCCTTACGTTCTCTGGCAGGTGGACCTGATCTTTGCTTTCTTTCTGTTGCAGGAGATATGGGACACTTTGATAAGAGCTGTAATCAGGGCTGCTTTCTCCCTTGTTAGTTTGCTTGCGAAGATCTTCTATGTATTCCAAGGCTTTGATCATATCAGGATTTGGGAATCTTTGTAAGTTTTTCATTACATAGTCTGGATCTTTCTGAAGCAACTGATGCTGCTGGAAGGAAGCTGCATCAACCCAACAGACTATGGCAAAGAAAATGGTGAGAGCACAGCCTGCTTCAAGCTGGAAGGCTTTAGTTTCAGCCATATTTAAAATAAATATTTCCTTGAAATAAAGAAGAAGAAGAAAAGACTCCGTTAACACACAAAGGCAAACAGAAAACTGAGAAGCAAAATAGATATGGATATTTAAAACTGGAACTTACAATTAAGAATATCACCAGCACTACACATTTTTATCAATTATGAAAAACTAATATAACTCATATATGGAAACAATGTATTTTGATGAAAACTTTACATTTTCTGAATCTTTCCTAGGATTCCTTAGTTATGCTAGAAACTATTGGTCTCCCACGCTAGAAATTCCTTTTCTCTGTGCTTAATGTTCTTCATGAACATCAGTTTTCCAGTGGCAGCAGCAAAGTATAAAATACAAGTCATACATAGCTCATGAAATGCCCACAGAGGAATCTAGATGTCATTTTGATTATGAAAATGAGGGTTTCAAAAGGTAAAATCAGTATATCCATAGATTTAAATGCTGCTTAAAATTTTAATATTAAAACTGCACACAGAATTATTCCATGAGATTGCTCCAAAGGGCATCTAATTTCATGCCAGGGTAATACCACTGATGGGTGCTTGACTGCAATAAAATTATTGAAATGGAGAACATGGCCTATAAAATGACTTGCAGGTTTATTTCAGTCATTATTGTTAGTGTTATTGCTTCCTTTTTTGCTGTTTCATAAAAAAAACAAACATATTATTTGTACTGCAGGTGAATTTTAGTGAAGAGGCTCTAGGAGTGACCCGTTTTCCTACGGACAATGAGTCTGTATATGAAGGGCAACTATAATTTATCCTAAAGCTACAATATAATTTTACTGAATCCTTTAAAACCCATCTCAGAAACGAGCTTGAGTAGGTATGTTCTGTGTGATGATTTTGTTCATTCATCCATCCATTCATTCATTCATTCATTGACTTCAGCAGAAATTGAATCGGGTCCCAGGACAGGCAGAAATGTGACCACTGGCAGAAAGGAACTAAATTCAGTTAGAATAGATCAGTAGAAGCCCATGTCTAGTCAGTCTGTCCAGCTTACGCCAGCCAACAATAAACTGTGGAATAGAAGTGGGAATGATATGTCTCCATATGTCTCCGACTGAATGAAGAAGATTCTAGCAGTGCTGCCTATGAGGACACAGCTGCCCAAACCCAGTCCTGCCAGGAGCTGAGAAACCCTCCACCCAGGGTAGGGAAAAGCTGCTCTTATTTCTGTCCTAGGAGATGCTTTGGCACTGATATGCTGGGGCTGTGAGGTGAGACTCTGTTCTGAGCCAGTTACATCAATGAATGAAGTACAATAATAAGAAAGAAATTATAAAGATAGAAACCACTTTGATTAATTGACCTATTTTGGTTCCTTTGGTTTTTGGTTTGGTAAAAGCATCCTGTTGAGATCTTGGTGATTCATGACAGACTGAGACCACTACGTATATCACTATTTACTCTCTGCTGTGCGTAGAAAGTGAGCATAAATATGCTCATTTCAGCTCACTTGTAGATTATTCCCCCTCAGTTTTTGTTCCTAACACAATATGACTTAGCTAAATAACCAAAGCAATATCTGCTCAGAGAGCTGCTTTTTTTCCCCCTCAGTATGCCCAGGCAGGCTAACAGCTGCAAGAGCAAACAATTTCCCCAAATATTTCTGACTGCTCAAGCCTGGATACATTTGACAATTGATTTCACAAAACAGCTAATTAGAATATCCAACCCTTCAGCTCTGAGTTTGCCCTGAAAACAAAGCCAACATGTTGCTTGGCTTTCTGTCATAGAACAGGTGCTAATGCTATACATACATAAAAATGCAATAAAACAATTTTTTTAAAGGCATTTTGCTACCTATTGTAGTAAATAAATAAAATTAAGACTTTCTTTTTCCATCAGAAAGACTGGTTATGATCAGTGCCTGAGAAACTACATCCTTCCTGAGGGCTGGGGGAAGGGGAGTTATTCCGTAATTATCTGCTGGGCACCCCCCTCTCACTGAGACCTGGAACTCATCCTCCTTCCCTGCACACCAGTATATGCTGTTACAGCCTCTGTAAAAGTCCTTAGCATCCCATTAAAACCAAAATGCATGGAGCTAAAGTTTAGTTTAGTGTTCCTCAAGGATGTTGCTCAACTGGATATTTCCTTTGCAGGAATAACAGGTCATTAGCTCCTCTCTAGATATCGTGGGTGTATTTATCTCTAGATGAATTTTCACTTCCAATTTATTGGTAGGCAATACTTGAAAGCCTTGTCAAATAGTTCTGGGAATGGTTTCTTTTAAAAGCTTTGAGCTCAGGTCACAAAATCTTGTCATTAAATGTATTAGCACCACATTAGCTAGGGTAAGGGGATTCCTCCCCAGTTCTTCAGAAACTAATTCCATATTTTTTTAATAAAAGAGAGGACATTTTAGACTGTCTTTAGGATCTATATTAACATATTTTTTTCTGTGCCTCTCAAAGGACAATCTGCTAAAATGGCTGGTTTGTCTACAATGGCTAATTGGGAAGCCAGCCCAGGTGGGGAGCACATTTTCCCCCCTATTAGCACCTAACAGGGAAATCACCTCTTGGCCAACAAATGTAGAAGTTTCTAGTGACAAAATCAGGCAGTCAGGTTCACAGTGTAACACCTGCAAAGGCAAAGCAGACTGACAGAAGTTCCTGCGAAAACAATACATCTCCTTTCTGGGATGTTTCCATGGCAGCCGCGATTGTCTCTCTCGCAGCAGCCGCCTCTGATGTGCCTGTAACGTTTCCACTGAACGTCTGTGATGGAAACTCACAAGCTTTCCTGTAGACGAGTCCCTGCCCTGAGAGTCTGAGGGGGAATCCAACAGCAGTTTCCCATAAGGAAAACTGAGAAATACAACACACACTCCTCCTCCCATTTACTTTCCTAATAAATAACACAACTGCAGTGAAGCTGCTTTCCCCCCTCAACCCCCCTTTTCTTTTTAAGTGTATCTAGCCCTTCACTTTCTGCAAGGACCAAAACATGAGCAAAAGAAGCAGGGGATGAGGAGAAGGCGGGAGCCCCGAGGGGCTGGGGGTGACCCCAGGCTTGCTGGCAGGTGCCTGCACCGGAGCTTTGCAGCCCAGGGGAGCTCCGCGGCTCTTTAGAGGGACCGAGCGCAACGCGAACGGGGATGGCACCGGCAGGCGGCCCCGCCGGCACTAAAAACACACAGA